GCAAAGCAACCATTTCTTCCCAGTATTAGTAAAAACCTGTGGGCACTTGGAAAATGTTGTGCATGATAATTCCATTTTTCTTTCAATTTTGTAAAATAAATAATCAACAAAATGCACTTTTAGTTTTTTTTTCTTGATTTTATGATTTGTGACATTACAACTGTGTCATACTGCAAGGAAGATATTTTTGAGTTCCCTCTAATTCTAGCCATGGCCGTGCTGTTTCCATAGAGGTGCATGATTTTATATTGCTATAAAAAAATGTAAAAATTATGGCAAAAAATGTTCAGAATGCTTGGGGGCTTATTATACCTTCATTTAGTCAGACATTTCTTCATTACATCAAATATGTACTTACTCAGAGGTTTCATTACTTTACTGATGTATTAACCAAGGGACATAATTCAGGGGTATTTGTTGCATATTTTAATAAGAACACTTATAATGCATGTGTTGCAACCCTGCATGTAGCTCTCTTTGACTGACAAGATAGAATAAAGCTCTCACGTGTAATCTTTCATAATCCTTGGCAGGGGTTCTAATTAAAAAAAAAAATAAAAATCTGAGCATGAGAAGTAATCACTTCCTTTGGGTCGCTCCCATCCATGGTTGTGGTGCAGATGCAGCATTTTTAAAAGGCTTTCCATTATGGTGTGAATAGACTGTGTGCCTCAGGCTAAATGATGTGTGAAATCTTGATAATAGTTTGTGTCGAGAGATATTAGGACACAAAAAAAAAAGAAAAAAAAGCCTAGATGGGCTATTTGTGCTATTTAACAAGAGAGGTAATAAGCTCCACTCAAAATAAAACAGCCTTTATTTATATATTTTAGCCTCTGAAAGAATCTCCAGAGAATCTGGTTTTTTTTTTTTTTTTTTTTAAGAATTCTACTTTCTTCATGTCTTTCACCCTCGTTATGGTGTTTTCCTTCACCTCTCTCTTTTTCTCTCCTCTGTTCAGCTGATGTTTGGACGTTTTGGACAGGTTGTGGAGAAGAAGAAGTCAATTACACTTCAGGATATTAGTGCTGTAAGAATCTTTTTCTTTTTTTAAAAAATGTGCTGCAAGAATCTGTCTGTCTGTCTGTCTGTCCGTCCGTCCGTCCGTCCGTCCGTCCGTCCGTCTGTCTGTCTAATCTTTTTGTTCTTCTCAGGAGGAGAAGAGGCAACTGTCCAGTATGCTGGGCTGTGAGATCTCCTCCATGCTGTGTGTTCCTGTGGTCAGCAGGGCTACCGGTCAGGTGGTGGCACTTGCATGCGCCTTCAACAAACAGGGTGGACAGAGGTATGTAATGTGTTCGTGCTGTAAGTTGCTCCTTTTGGTTATGTGGCTATTTCATGCAGAGAGAAAGAGACACTCACCAATCTGTTAACCTTACAGCTGTTCAGAAACTCACTCTGAGTCACTGATGCCTTCATGCCGGAATATGTTGAAAATACTGTGTTGCCAATTCGAAGTTGATTTGGCTTTCTTCTAATTCTTCAAGTGCTGAGTCATGGTAGATATAAAGATTTGTCTGACAGCGGCTTAAAGTGATGTTGGCATGGGGCCTGAGTGGTCGAGCTTAGATTTGTTGAGTTTAGAGCAGTGGAGACTGCACCGCTGTTTCCACTGAAATCTGCAGCTAACAATCAGGTTGTGCTGAAGGCTATTCCCAAATAGGAAAGGACTGAGACACGAAAGCAGCCCTGGAGCAGGAGCAGCACAGAAACACTCATCCAGGTTGTCATCTTGCTACGGTTCTTGGTGGCAGTAGGATATCTGTTTAATCCAAGGAGCTGTGCAAACCATGTACAATAACTTTTAACCCTCTGGAACCCAAAACGCAGGCAGATTTGAAATTCAGGTCTTCTAAAATAATCACCAGTGTTACACCATTTATAAGAGCCAGCAATTGTAAAAACTGAAAGAATCATCGGAATTTCAACTTTCTGGCAGCCCTTTTATCTAATCATATGTGACCTGCCGTTTAGGAATCAAAGCTAAAATCAGGATATTTGATCAAAATCATTAACATCATGTCACATTTAAAATTCACCAAAAAACTGACAAGATTCGGTAAACAACAAAAAAAAATCATGATAGCAACCATAAAGCCATTAGTGACTTAGCTGTGTTGGGGAAAGCTGAGGACAACTAGAAAAATGTTGATTCCATTTTTAAAAAAATTCAGTATAAGAACTAATCATAGAAATTAAACTGTGATTTCTCTTTTTTGATGATTTATGGCATTATAAGTGCTTGATAGTGATAGTTGATTTTTGACTAATTCCAGCCATGGTTTCCATCGAGCTGCAGGACTTTATATTGCAGTGAAAAATGAGCCCACAGTGAGTCGAAATAAGCAAATAATGTCCAGAAACTGCTTGGAGTTCAGAGGGTTAAACATGACAGACACGGAGGTAGTGTTATAATGGGTTCCAAATAAAAGGCACAGAAGGTGTGAGTATATGTGCAAAATGAAGGAGTAATGGAAAGGTGAATGCCCTCTAAAAGTTGGACGGTGTTACACATGCTCATGCAGGTGCTGCTTTACAGTGAAAGTTAATGTTTTTAAATGTGTAGTCCCGGCATGCATGCAACTCACAGAGGCTGTTTGATTTTCTTTAACCTCTTGATGGCATTTAGACAACAGAGCAAAACAATGCACATTTCATATATATAGATACATGATTTACACACAACTCTTCAGTCTCTTCTATCCATCTCTTTTAGATTCTGTAGAGCAAAGCTTCTTACCTCCTCAGATCACAAAGCACAAAACACTGGCAGATTATGTTTACAATAATAGGCTGCTTGCAGTACGTTGTCTCTTTTCAAGTTACCTATATAAGCTAGTTAGTCGCAGTACAGTACGATTTAAAACCACAACAAGGATTAAAACTGGTGCAGCCAAGCAGCAGATCTGTTCACAGGCTGCAAACATTCATTCAGAACTGAATGAATCCTCGGACTGCTGACATTCCATGTGAAATTAGAAATTCTTTAATTAGTTTGGGCAGAAAGTGTTGATGATGCTGCGCGTCTGGAAGGACAGCGCACAATGACATGATCCGGGGAAACGATGCAGATTACATTTGATCGGTTACCCGCTGTGTTTGGCTCACTCACTGCGTATTTGAAGTCCACTGATCTGCACATTTCCCACTGGATTTGAGGCCCTCTGTCACAGAAAACACCATTTATATTTAGTTAAGCATCCAATTCTCACCTATCCACAGGTGTTCTGTCTGCGTCTCCTCTTTCCACCTGGGCTCAGTCATGTCCAGCAGCTGTCTGGACCTTGACAGAAAATCCACATTACCAGTCCTCCCCTGAACGGATACCATGGCACATTTGAGCTTGTGTCAAATCGCCTCCCTCTTGTGCGTGTGTGTGTGTGTGTGCGTGAGGATAAAATCAGCGTGTGTGACCAGATGGCTGTGATGATGATGGCGATGTGATGATCTGGAGTCAGGTCATGAGTCTAACAGCAGCGGGTGGCTTGGCTGCCTGGTTTGGCATCATGTTTTGGCATGTATTTGTGTGTGCGTGTGCTGCCAGGAGCACTGCTGCTATCTCCTGAATACAGAAGTCTGTAAAAGCGCACTCCAGCTGTTTGTTTCCGTGTTTGCGAAACAGTCTGAAAGTGTGAGGAAACTTATTCTGTATATTGTTTTCACACGCTTCACACAGATGCAGGCACTCAGATACAATCCTTCTCCTTTGCACACGTTCCCTCTGTGAAGACTTAGATAGATGTGCAGTGATCATGTCCTATAATTTCTTCCTCTGCCAGTGGCACTGATGACAGAGCTGGCATCTCATTACCATAGTAACAGCAGCAGGATTATGGTCGCAACTGTGCATATAATGTGATAAATCTATCCTCTGCTCCCAGTAGAGTCATATTTCTCAAAGAAACATCGCCTGATCATATAGATTGCATATTCCATACTACATAATGCATATTCAGAGTTCGCCGGAGCCTTTCTTGCCTCCTAAATGCATAATTTGGCCTCTTAGTTGAGCACACAGGTGCTTGACAACATATTGTGACGCCAGCAACAGGTCCATAACTCAGTTCTGGTGCCAAGCAGGTGACAACGCCGCAAGGAAAGCATCAAAAACATCAGCGAGCCTTATTTTTCACACAGGGCATGTTGAAAATGAACAGGATGCCATTGTGTACAAAAATGGTGAACTCAAATAAACCTGCATCCTGGAGATCATGGATACACAAGACAAACACCAAGATGAGTTTTTGTGATGACAGCAGCGTCGGGGAGGGCGAAGCTGTCAGTTGTTGGGTTTATTCCCAAGACATGGCAGAATCTCAGAATGTCTGTATCACTGTACGACTGCAGCCAACTTCATGGCAGCATCACAGCAGACCAAACAGGATGCACGCATTCTTACTAACAGTCTTGTTCATAAATTCTTAGTGGAAAGTATAGTGTGCTTTTTCACTGCATGTGTCCAACTTCTCGTGTTTGGAAATGGGCTCCCACTGGTTGCTAGTCTCACTGTGGAAATGGAGACTATATTCGATCATAACTGGCTCATATCAGAGAAAATTATCCTCCAGCTTCTCTATTGTTCTGTGTAACGCTGCCGAATGTCAGTCATAAAGATCTGCATGTGGCCGAGTGAAAGCAATGGACCCAAAACTGAGCCTACAAGGTCTTTTCTCTAATTCCTTTGAGTCTAAGCTGAGGGCAAGAAAGCCTTGGAGCGACATTCTGCCCCAACATCAGCTCAGTAATGTGCCACTGCCCTCTGTGGGTAAAGACACATAACTGCTGGCAATTAATCGCATCTCTGTCATCACTGCTTTGCCTCTTAAATGCAACAGTCACACATTCAGTTCCTGCAGGAGATCAGAGTCTATTTTGGTTTTCTGTCATTTAAGACATTTTACAGTAACTTTAATGGCTGTGAGTCTTTCTCATCTCTGTTTTTAGTCTACAGCTCGACGTCTCACCTTTCTGTTACGACTGCAACCAAAAAGATTATTTTAACCATCAGCTGATGAACAAACGTTTGTCTTTGCCACATCCTAATATATCAGCTGGCAATTAACACATCTATGACATGCAGTGTTGGAAGAAATCTGTAGTCTTTTTACTTGCTTAAACAAAAGAGCAGACTTTTTTGCAGCACAATCTTCTAGTATGAAATGTATTCATTATTTAAAATGTCTCAATTTATGGTGTTGTTTTTTTTTATAGAAAATTGCTTGCATTTTTTAATATCTTTGGGGTATGTTGGATGTTTATTCTATAACCATGCATCTTTCATGAGCTGATCCTATGTGCTTTGTGTGTTTTATAAAATTTTGATGTATCTGCCCAATAAATATAGCGGGATCCAAAGTGCAACACATCTCTTTATGTATGCAATGAAGTAGAAGCAGTAACGCTAAAATGGTTATAATAAGATAAACTGAAAGTGCATTAAAAGTGTACAATACATAAAAATGACATTATATGATGAAATATACTTATATTCAACCACTGATAAACAAATTTTTAAAATGTTTATTACAATTTTCTAAAGCCTAATATGATACTATAGCTTTTGTGTAACCAAGAGTACAAAACATTCCAAAGATCGTCAGTTTAATATGATTTACAAATCCTCATATCTCAGGAACTGAAAGAGGTTTTTTTTTATATTTAAAAGGGAACACTTCATGATTATCAGATCAGGTGGAAATTATAATTTTGTCAGTCTACTAATTGGTTAAATTGATTGTTTCAGTTGTACTTGTTTAGCAAGTTTAAGAAATGTAATGAAAACGACATAGGATTGTCATTCGTGCAAACCCGTGTGTTAAGCCTCAAAACTCAGTGAGGTTTTCCTTAATTTGGAGTTATGTTGAGACACAGAGGAATATGAGCGGTTAAATTTTCAAAACAAGACATTACTCATTGACAACAGTTAGACACTGAGGTGATGTAGCTTGAAAGCATCGTCTCAAATCGTCCATTATTAGTGAGAGTGTCGACTTGAGAATGTGTTGTTTATGATTTATAATGTAATGTGTTAGGTGCACAAAAATCTAAATCTGTATAGTATGTGTCTGACATTTGATATTAAAGGTTTTTTTTTTTTAAATCCCACAGCAGAGTGATAATTAGTGTCTATATTCAGATTTCCATTCAGATTTATTTGACTGTGTGTGTGTGTTTTGCTCTACAGACACACAGAGGTCGACGAACATGCCATCCAGCACTGCTTCTGCTACACTTCAACAGTCCTCACTTCAACTTTGGCCTTCCAGAAAGAACAGAAGCTGAAAGTGGAGTGCCAGGTACTGCACATGCCCACACACTCGCTGTATGCACACATAAATATACATGAAGCTGCATTTTGAAGAGCTTTTTGTGTCCACTGTTTCTCCACATAGGCGCTCTTACAAGTGGCCAAGAATCTCTTTACACACTTGGGTAGGTCTTTTTCCCCTTCTTCTGTCTGTCTGTGTGAGGGAAGGAAGGTTGTAGGACAACTTGGCAGACATTCAAACGATCACCAAGTGAAGCGGCGCACATAATTGAATGAGATATTACTGACCCTATAGGTGATTACAGCCAGGATCATAATCATAAAATCAAAAGGCCATTTAAAAGATGGCTCCACCTCTCTATCGTATAATTACACCGAGGCATTTCCATCCTTATCAAACGGTAAGCACCAGCAGAAGAATAAGTCATTGTTGATTCGTCATGATTGCAGGTACAAAAATTGATCCTGTGGTAGAGCAAATTGCCTCTCACTGAACTGAACCGTTGATTACAAAAGCTCTTATCAGCCAGTGCAGCTGATTCACGGGCACTAGTGGTGTAATCTCTGTTTCTGTCTATCTGAGTTTTGCTGTATCTGTTTAATTTCCTCTGTTTTCCTTTTAATTCCTTTCTCACCCTCTCCTTTTCTCTCTCTCTCTCTCTCTCTCTCTCTCTTTCAGATGATGTGTCAGTGCTGTTACAGGAAATTATAGTGGAGGCCAGGAACCTCAGTGATGCAGAGATGTAAGCCCTCTGATTCATCTTCAAAGGGGCATTTCTGTGTGTGTGTGTGTGCGTGCGTGTGTGTGTGCGTGCGTGTGTGTGCGTGTGGCTGCGTATAGTGCGAACGTCTTTATCTCCATTCGTAAAGGCTATCTTGGCAATTTGTTCTTAACCGACTTGCCTCATTTAATAAAAGTTGCTAAATGACCTGAGATGAAATGAGATAAAACACTGTAATTTTCCCTGCTTTGCTCTGTTCTCCTTTACCCGTCTAACTCTGCCTGTCTCTGTCGCTGCAGCTGTTCAGTGTTCCTACTGGATCGCCTCAGCCACGAGCTGGTGGCGAAGGTATTTGATGGCGGTGTGGTGAGCGACGAGGAGGTACAGCAAACAGGCGTCTGTTGTTGTTTTTTTTTTTGACTCAAACATGCTTTTAATCTCTCTGCGTGAATGTTTTTACTAAATAATCGCTTATCTGGCATCTTCCCTGTAGTGTACTGGTCTAAGTGTGTTTGCAACATCAACAAAAACAAAATGGGGACATTTTATGCATTCATTAGAAAGTTTGGCACCAGAGACAGACAGGAAATTATGGGAGAAATTACATCCAGCACAGGTCCCCTTACAGACTTTAATGGTGAATTTGCCCAATAATTGAGCAGCTCTGTTGCTGTTACTCCCACATTTCCTGTTTGGGTCTACTGTCAATGCTAAAATGAAACCAAAAATGTTTTTTTTTAATTAAAAAGTTTTTTGATAACAAACCTTTTTGCATGTGTTGATGTCCGAGTGCAGAAGGAGTTTCGTATCCCAGCTGATCAGGGAATCGCAGGACACGTCGCAACCACCGGTCAGATTTTGAACATTAAAGATGCCTATTCCCACCCTCTCTTCTACCGTGGTGTTGATGACAGCACAGGATTCAAGACTCGCAACATCCTCTGCTTCCCCATCAAAGATGAGAACAACGGTATCAATACAACATTGCCTTCACACAAGCATTTCAAAGGACAACATCTTGCCAAAACAGTTCTTTTCTTAGTTAAAGCTCCATAAAGCATCAGTCTTTATTTCCACATCACCTTTAATACAGGCATGTGCAATTCAAAGAGAATTTCTAAAGAAATCATACAAAAAAAGATAAAAATCCAATAAAAATGAAATAGATAAAGATAGAAAAATTTGTTTTTGAAACATTTTAGTCATAAGAAGAGCTCAAAGGACAGATTTCAGGTAAATATATATCACATTTAGCTACTCTCAGATCCTTACAAAGGCAGTTTCAGCAACTCAGAGCATAAAAACTAAAAGGTCTTTGAAGTATGTTTTCTCTACTTTAGTAGCTTAACTCTGCATCGTAGTATTCTGCCATAATTGAGCAACTAAATCACAAATATCAGCTTTTTATCGCATTATCAGGTTTCATCATATTTCCACGCTGGCAAATGCTTTGTTTTTGTCCTCAACAGCACATCCAGTACCTGCTCATCCTGTTTTGTTTTTAAAAAGCAAAGCTACATTTCCACACAGTTGCGCTCTCAGAATAGCACAAAGAACGGTTACATCACATCCTTGTGCCGAAATGTTGCAGTGCATAAAGTGCACTTTAGACCATCTTCAGTATGTTCCATACTTAGAAATTTCAGAACCCTCTGCCTGCTGCTTGCTTGTATCCAAGCAGAGAAACTGTGGATTCAGTTTGATTTGTCATGTTATAGAAAAATGTCTGAAGCGCAGGTTAACAGTTTAATTTCTGATCTTTTTTTTATGTGCAATTAGGTTGAAATCTAGTGTGAAATTAATTGAAGTTAGCAGACCTTTGACTCAACGTCTGTTCTGCATCTCTGGCTGTCGCATTCCGTGCTTCATTTTCTCGTCCCTGCCATTTTTCTTCATTATCAACTTTCTCTGCCTCCATCCATCTCTGCTCGTTCTATTCATTTCCTCCCTCAATGTCTCACCTTCTTCTTTTCCATTCTTCTCTTCACTATTATTTCTGTTCTCCTCCTCCTCCTCTGTAAATCCTGCTCTTTCTAGAGGTGATTGGCGTAGCCGAGCTGGTGAATAAAATGAATGGGCCGTGGTTCAACCGCTTCGATGAAGATCTGGCCACGGCTTTCTCCATCTACTGTGGTATCAGCATCGCCCACGTGAGTCTCCATAACCTTTAAATGTTCTGGTCCGGCATGTTGAGCAGCCATGGATGAGGACAACGCGTTAAATTGTTTCCAATATTCTTATTCAATGCTGCACATTCGTCAACACACTCCTCTGCTCCATTTGTCAGTGTAGGTTAGTGTATGGATGTGCAAGCAAGTTATACAACCAAGTATATTAAGCATAAAATAAATAAACTCCAATAACTAAAATGTTAAACTTCTCACTTTTCTCATATGAATCATTAGAAGGAATAGATGCAGCATTTCCTATGAGACACATTCATCTTCATACACACTGACTCACTGTAAACAAACGCAGGTCATTAAGTCAGCCTGATTTTAAATAATGTCATCTCCAAGTCCCATGAATCCTTACACCCGCTGATTGATTTGACGACTCAGAGAGGAATAAAAGAAAGTTTAGAAAATGAGCATTTACAGTATGTCCATCATTAGGAGCCTCTTACTCCTTAAAACAGTGTCCTGTATCTGTTCTTAATGCTGTTAGATTAGAGAGATTGATTCTGTCTGGCAAAGTGGGATCAGTTCAGTGGGAGCAAAATGCTCAGTCAAACGCAGAGCAGAGTGAAGTCTCGAGGGAAATTCTGAAGAGATTCAGTCTGATGGAACTGAGTGGCTTTTGTGGTGCACTTCATCGGCATTGTATGACTGCTTTAAACCCATTAACATACATTCAGCTCCTCTGCCGTACGTGGCTCACAAAGACGATCGTGAAGATGTTTGTAACAATAATGATGATCAAAAAAAGGTGTGAGAGAGAGAGAGAGAGAGAGAGAGAGAGAGAGAGAGAGGTGTAATGTCATCAAGAAATATATTATTATGGTTTTTATCGCTGTTTTCAAGTGTTTCCAATCCTACAACTACCTAAAGTATAGTCTTCACTTGCTGTAAAACCACATTATTCATAATGCGATGATCAAACTTTGTCATCGAATGTCTCTTTATTGCTGCTGCTTTCATCATCTTTTACCAGACATTTCAGTAATGGGATTGATTTTTCTTGCCTCTAGTAATTTACTGCAGCAGACGTGCAACTTATTTGAGTATTTTAAGGATTTTAAGATGAATCAAACCAACAATTGATTGATGTCGTTTTAAACATGATCACTTTATGTTCGCAGGTGATTTCAGATAACTTGACAAAGAAAGAGTCTTACAACAGTGTGTTCATTGATATAAACATACAGCTGTGACGTAATATTTTATTCAGGATTTCCGATTCCTCTTCATATTAACTGGGTCTTGTAGAGTCTGACCTTTGAATGACTGCAGGTACTCAATAGTTTATCTACAAACTACAAAGCTATTTGATTGGAAAAATAATTGCCTTCGAGGCAGCTCATTAATCATTAAAACACAACTGAATACATTATTCATCAGTGCTGCATCATGGTGTACACAGTTCTGTGGGTTGTAAAAAGCAGCTCTTCTTGTTTATTGAAATGTAAGCAGCATTCAGCATGACTTTTATTGTTTACAATGCTGGACAAATGCTGCAAGAATTCTACTACCGACTATATTGCACTTGTTAATATGGATTTAAATATGAATTCACAAACACAGACCACAGTAGATTAATATGAAAGCTCAAAAAAGGGTTTAACTGCATGATCTATTATGAACAGGAGGAAAAATGTGACTGTGGCTGCCGGTTCTTTTCTTTCTTTTAAAATAAAGCTCTTTTGGATCCTCATGATCGAACACAATCTCTTTCAACGCCATTGTCTTTGAAAGTTTTCTGTCAAAATAATGAAAAGATGAAAACTGTGGCTCTGCAGCTGACCTGTGGATCATGTTGTAGCCAGGTATCCGTGTTATAATAATGGATTTGTTTGTTTCTTTAGTCTCTGCTCTACAAGAGAGTCCACGAGGCTCAGTTCAGATCCCACCTGGCCAATGAAATGATGATGTACCATATGAAGGTAAAATCCCACCTATACATCTCATTCACGCTCACGCAGAGACACATAGTATTTACCGGCACTGTTAATATTATTTACTCCATATGATTCAGTATGTGTCTGTTGCAGGTTTCAGAGGAAGAGGTGTCTAAGCTGCTGGTGCCCGGGATCGACCCGGTGCAAGAGATTCACCCGTGCTACGCCGAGTTCACGTACACGCCACGATCCCTGCCTGACGACACCACGCCCATGGTAAGGAAAGGAGAGGATGCGTGTGCTGGAAAACTCACAGATTAAGTGGAAAAGTGAAATTATAGGGATACAAGACCAAAACGCAGAATGAAAGCTGATGTAACTGCTCCTGTTGTGTGTCTGCAGTGCATCCTCAGCATGTTCGAAGACATGGGTTTCATCAACACGTACAAGATCGACCTGCACACTCTCGCCAGGTCTGACAGCTGCATCAGTTCATACACTGAAAACAAGTCTTTGTGCATGTGTGTCCGTCAGCTACTTTAAGTGGTCCGCATTTAGGAACTGATCTTTCTGATTTGCTTTTATTTTTTCTCTTTGGTACCAGCTCCCTATTTTTAATCTTGTTCATTCCTGTCAACCGCTTTATAGTATGTTGGAGTAGATGGGCTTTAAGTACTCTTGGGGTTGAGTTATTCTCATTTTTCAAGTCTTATTACTCTTTTAATACCCAAACTCCATGGAAAGAGAGAACAATTGTACAAAGCAAACCGTTCATGATGAAATCACTCAATATTGTTAAGTCTCAACATCAGTCTCCATAATGACGCAGACGATACCGAGCTATATATATCTGTGTAAGCCTAAATGATTGCAGTTCTTTCAACAGCTTGATTGTATGCCTTTCTGACGTAAGTCTCTGGACTTATTGCAGCCAGATAAAGACTAAACTGAGATCCTAGCTATTGGAGAAAAATCTGAGAGAGAAAATCTAAAATAATTCACCTTGAACACCAAGTTACAGGACAAAAACCTAGGTGGTTTTAATTCTGACCTAAACTTATAATGTTTCATTGTTAAGTTGTTGGAAATGTCCTGGTATTTGAACACCCCCCTTCGTGAAAATTCTGTTATTTACTTTTTTGGGCACGTTTATATGATGTGTTCGTTATACGCATGAAGACTTACCATGATCTTAATAAGCAGTTTACAAGGTGGAGCATTTCCACCTTGAAAGTGTAGCGTACTGATGATGGTCTCAAAAACATGGTTTCAGACTTCCAGGGTTTCAAACAGAACAAACCTGAGGAACCAATCCTGTCACCTTGCAGGTTTTCTGTATCTCTGTTCTTCTTAAGAATTGGATTTTGGTATAAAACACGTATGGCTGTATTACTTAACTTTTACAACTTACCATTTTGTAGCATAAAGTAATTTTGCAGTGTTTGAGAAGAATCGTAGGTGAGCAGGTGTGCTCGAGCTGCAGTGGGCAGGTAGGAAGGCATGGACTTGAGAGCTGCACATTCTAGAGGACACAACAGTTAACTCTGAGCTATTTTAAGGCAGGAACAGATTATTTTCAAAGGCTAAACTCTAAACTTTAATACATGGAGATGAGTTTTTCGGGCTATAATCAACTACCAGAGAGGGGCTTTAAGAGATATTTCCAAAAATAGACTGTTACTGGCCTAAGGAGACACAAAAAAGTTAATACATGCTTTCAGTAATGCTTTTCTCTTGGTTGTGTCTCATAAAGATTTCGGTCAGCTGTACAGAAAACAGCAGCACAAAACCAGACAGACATCCCACATTCCTCAAGTCTTAAAGTCTTTACAATTCACTTTAATTAATCCTTTTTCTGGCTTTTTTTAAATCGCTGAATGGCTGACATATGTGCCCGCTAGGTCCCAAACCTCTTGATTGTTCCTGAGTTTAGAGCTAAAAGGCACAGTAGAGGCAGACTTTCTTAATTTTGCTTCAAAACTCAGAAACAGTCTGCCTAAGGGTCTTAGGGAATCTAAATCTGTTGCTGTCAAACTAAGACATCTTTTTACCTTTTTTTCTTCCTAAGTTTTTTTTCCTTATTCTGTTGTACTCATTCCCTATTGTTTTATTATAAAAGTCATGACTATCTGCACTTTGTATTGTAGTTTATGCATGATTCATGCTGTATAAATAAAGTCTCCTGCTATTGTCAATTACATGTTCAAAGAAAGTGGGGTAATGATGTATTGCTTTAATAGTTCACATACATGTGTCACTGGCATCATGCTGAGGTGTAGACCATAATTAAACTGCTGCCTTGTTGTCAGGTTCTGTCTGATGGTGAAGAAAGGCTACAGGGATCCTCCGTACCACAACTGGATGCATGCCTTCTCCGTCTCACACTTCTGCTACCTGCTCTATAAAAACCTAGGGCTGTCCAACTACCTCGAGTGAGTATACAGCTCTTGAACACTTCAGCAATTCATTTTTGCATTGTTAATGTCACAATTATTCTACTTTGTCCTCTGTCTTGTAGGGATATAGAGATTTTAGCTCTGTTTGTGTCCTGTATGTGCCATGACCTGGACCACCGTGGCACCAACAATTCTTTCCAAGTCGCCTCGGTGAGAGCACATAAAATGCTTTATTAGAGAGTATTTGATGAAACATAAACAGTGATACAAAGTGGAAAAAAAGGAATTGAATAAGAATATCATTGCTCCCAAACAAGTGCAGTGAAGCAGCGCTGCATCTGCACTTTGAAAATACAGACTGAAAAGTGACGTGTTCCATAGATGCTGGGGATGGTGTGCGTCAATAGGAGCCAGGCTCTGGGTGTTTTTCAGTAATATTAGAGTGTCTGGTTTTAGCTCATCATCTGTGAATTTGCCCCAGTGAGACACTAGATGTCATTGTGATTACAAGCATGTTGCTCTGGTGCACAACCCTCCAGCACCCTCCAGTACACACACACCAGCTGGCATTACACAACAAAGGTCATCCACCGTTTCATCATCCTCTTTTCATGTTTCCTATTCTGAAATTTATATTAGAGCTGACATGGATTGTTGAAGAGAAACACTGCTGCATTTTATTAAAGGAAGGTGTTCCATTTGAATCAATACAGTGTGAACTGTAAAAGGATTCTGTTTCATTTGTCTGTCTGTTTTATTTTACAGCAATCTGTGCTGGCTGCTCTCTACAGCTCAGAGGGATCTGTGATGGAGGTAAACTATCAGAGCTTTAACAATGGTTTCCAACAGCATGGGGCACTATATCAGTCTTTACTGCATATATTATAGAAAAGACCAACAAATGCTCAGTTTTGTCATTGATTATATTAGTTTGCTTCTTCATAGTTGTCTCCCTCCATAGTTGAGAGTGACTGATGTTGTGTTCTACTGTGACATCTAGTGGTCAAAGTCTATGCAGTTATGAGGCAATGCAAGGCATTTCAGTTGGTTTTGCTTTTTGCATTGCAACATGACTTAGCATTACTTTAAAAGCATCATTCTCAGATTAGCTCTGACATTTTGTTACTCTGCTTTATTCACCACAACAGAGGCATCACTTTGCCCAGGCCATTGCAATTCTGAACACTCATGGCTGCAACATCTTTGAGAAGTTCAACAGGAAGGTGAAATCTAAAATCCGTCATACAGATAATTATTTTTTCTCTTTTTTGTCTGTCTTTCATTTAGATTCTACATTCTCTCATCACTGTCTGTGCCAGCTAAAGATATTTTTGATGTTTTTTTTAGGATTACACGCGCATGTTGGATCTGATGAGAGACATAATTTTGGCTACAGACCTAGCTCACCACCTGCGCATTTTCAAGGACTTGCAGAAGATGGCTGATAGTACGTCTCAGTGGTTCAATATGCACATTCACGTCTCTGCTTTTGCTTTACACTCACATCCCTGAACAGCCGAAGGAGACTCAACTGAGATGGTCCAGTGCACCAAACTATTATTTTTACCTCTCTTTAGATTAGAACAGGTTGATTTTACAGGAGAAAATATGCAATGACAGCTTATACAGCAGACAATATTAATCATTTTGTGGAAATCACAACTAAAAATACAGTTTACATTGGTCCTTCAATTAAATAATCACTGACAGATACACAGGCAACTACTGTACATCACCACATGTCAGTCTTGTCTAATGCAATCTGTAAGAATTTTATGTATGTTATTTAGAAAACAGTTATTTTACAAGGCGATGCACTTCCTTTGAACACCAGTTTCTGAATCCATTTCCTCTGCAGAATGACTTACTTAACACCACACGGAAAGAACTTTCTCACTCAACGTCTTCATTAAGTGACTTATTTTACAGAGATCTGAGGTCAAACTCGTAGCATTCAGCACTGACATTCCTAATAATCTGGTCTATTTACCCTCTTGCAGAGACAGTTGCTTACACTGTTATGCAATATAATTGGCTGTAACCTTCTGGCCAGCAGTTTGTTACGGCTGAATGCAACCAATTATAAGTTATCCTGAGTGTCTCCTCAGTGGAATCAATTTTGAGCTGTTAAAGCAATTCAAGGACATTAAAAAACCTCACAATGAGTTTGCAACTTTCTCACACCACAGTGTGTGTAATTTGTCAATCACAGACTAAAATAGTTGAACTTAGCGCCAAATGAAATTATACAGTGTCAAGGTGCCATGGAAACATAATGGCCTTTTACCAAACATGCAAATGGCACTTACCTGTGACATCCATTGGTGGCTTTTGATCATCAGTGTGTCAGCGTGTCGTAGCTGGGCATTTTGAGGACACTAAAATGCACTGAATTTCAAAAAAACGTATATTAATCAGTAAAATGTTTGAATCTGAAGAGTATTTTTTCTCAGATCTTCAAAGAGTTACCATGTAATTAGAAGTTAACATCACTGATTAAAATGCTGTTTACGTAGAGCGATGTGTTAATGTGTGTTTCAGATGGATACAATCCAAAAAGCCGGACCCACCGCTCCATGCTGCTGTGTCTGTTGATGACTTCGTGTGACCTGTCAGACCAAACCAAGGGCTGGAAAACCACACGCAAGATTGCTGTCAGTATATAGTCTACACAAATGTCTATGATTTACACTATACAGAGTATGGCCTAATGTTTTGTACAATGGCTTATTTGTTACAGTACATTCAATTACACAAACGTGACCCGTCGTTACTGCAATCACCCTTGTAATGTGAACAATTAGATAAAATTAATACCCAGTCATTAGTGTGGTGCAAATTGCAAAAGTATATTAGTGTATGGAATAGTGGTGATTATAGTGACCCAACACAATGCATGTTGTAACAGTTCAAGCTGCTTGTTGCAAGTTGAGACAAAAAACAAGCAAAGGTTTCACATGACGTGATTACAGACTGTTTCATGAAAATGTATTTTTCCTCTTGTCCTTATCACATTTCTATAGATTTTCAATTACCAATGTCTACACTGTAAAACTGCCCCATTTCTAGGACAATAAAGATTATGAGATGCAAATCTGTACAGCTTGAAATAACCTTTGAGCCATACTCCATTATATTCTGTTCTATGCGATCACACTATGTTTTAGGATTATGCTTAATCTTGGCCTGCCCCCCTTTTCAACACCAAACCCCTAAACCATGCCCTAAATCCTACACCCTCAATCTCCAAACACCTAGCACCTACAGCAAATGCGCTGTTATCCTAAACCAACAACACATTTCTGTTTAATACAGTGGAGAAAATCATTGTGCAATGTCTGGCTTGTATTGGTCTCAGTTAGTAGATTATTTTCTCACTGGCACAGGGATTAACAAAAAAACAGGAATCACACCAAAAATTGAAATGTAATAAAGGGGAATGGCAGTTTATCTCAGATTACAGCATTGTTGTGATTTAGCATGGTCCAGTTGAAAAAATGAATAACACTCAGAAAACCAAAAATTCAGACTGTGACGCAGTAAGTTTGCCTTCCAGATGGTATAAGTCTAAATTCAAGGCATAGTGGCATGGAAGATTTTCATTCAAGTTTGGTTTATGCTCATTTTTAAAGGTCCAATATGATGAAAATCTATTTTTATTGTGTTTTGTGGTTGGTATAAACTTGGAGGTGTAAAGTGAAAACTGTTAAGATATGAAGACATTTGATTCTGCCATTCCTTAAGCCCCTGACAACTAGGTAGCTTTCCAGCTTTACAATCCAGTGATAATTTTACTGAACTGCTATGTACCAAATAACAAACCATTAGTTGTCTACCTCCAGCTTTATATAGTCCTGCCTAGAAACTCCACCTTTGTGCCGACAACTGTTTTGTTGTCAATCGCTGCTGCAGAGAGAGTCTTCTTCCTGAAGTGGGCGCGGACAGCAGTAGCTCAGCTTCATTTAAAGCTACACACACTAAAAACATCCCATTTTTCACGCGGCAAAAACTAGGAGTAACAAAGTGATGGGGACATTAACCATATTTGCAGTAATATAGGATGTTAGAAGTGGAATAAAAGTCCAAACTTTTGATATCACAGTTATTCTATTCTTTAAAAATATATGCGAGATATGACACAAATGTAAATTGGATCTTATTGGGCTTAATCAGTGTATCTGTGAATATGCAACCATGTGAACAATAATATATGTCTGTCTCTGTATGTCCACAGGAGCTGATTTATAAAGAGTTCTTCTCTCAAGGAGATCTGGTATGTGTCACCGTACACTTGCCTTTAAATGGCATGTGACATTATGTTTTTTACATGCAGCTGACGTGTGTTTTATTTACACATTACAGAGCTCATTATTCATATCTGCATTGTGTGTGTTTGTGTGCGTGTGTAGGAAAAAGCCATGGGAAACAGGCCCAGTGAGATGATGGACAGAGAGAAAGCGTACATCCCAGAACTGCAGATCAGCTTCATGGAACATATCGCCATGCCCATCTACAAGTGCGTACAAAAAGCAAAAACATCACGTCCTCTTTCTTTTGGTTCCTGTGAACGAAGATCACTTTGCCACTGGTCTACATCGGTCCTCTCAGGATCAGTTCCACATATAGGGAAATACATTGAGTTTTGAACAAAACTGAAAATAGTAAAAGGAAAACATGTAGAACTCCTTCAGAAGAGGAGTCTATCCACAAATTATCACCTGATTCTGAAGTTTCCTTCTTCTCTTGGAGCAACATTTTAGCGTCTTTCGGCTGACTGCTGTAAGTTCACTCTTACCAGCATCGCTTCCAGCAGCTTTTTTCCAGTGGAAAAAGCTCTTCAAACGCACTGTACACAGTTAGCGACTTGCTGCTGAACATATACTGCAGGATCTTTTAGCAGCTAAGTCACATATTTCTCCTCAGGAGACGGCGGAAAGGAAAACAGATAAAATTAGAGTGAATGCTGAATTTACATTCATTAGGTGGACTCAAACGCGACTCCAAATGAATACTAATTCTGCTTGATGACTGCTGCAAGTGTAAATAATAAAATGTTTGCGAACACACTTGCCTTATCGACCTTTTAAAGCGATAATATGTTGTGTTTACAGCCCTCAAGTGGCCCAAAAAAAGCACTTATTTGGGGATTAGCAACACAAAATGCTGCGTTTAAAGTAAATATTATATAAAATAGTTCAAATGAAGACATTTCTATGTCCTTAGCTTCATGGAGACATGAAGTTAAATACATGGAATTAAAAGAATATGTAATTAAATGATGCTTTGATTTGGAACTGTGAAAATTAAACAAATTCCCAGACTGGGACTTTAATGTAGAATAATATCTAAGCTGTACTTTTAGTTTCACTTCAAGTAACAACTCTTTACCTCTCCTGCCCCCACATTCCTCTGTCCCTTCAGGCTGCTGTCTGAGCTGTTACCTGGGGCCACCGAGCTGTACGAGAGAGTGGCGGCAAATCGTGAGCAGTGGACCAAAGTGTCCCACAAGTTCACCATCCGTGGGTTGCCTAGCAACAACAGCCTGGACTTCCTGGACCAGGAGTACGAGCTGCTGCAGTCCCAGGGGGCCTTCGGAAGCGATGACCACTGCCTCAACGGTTGCCTTGACGACACAGAAGGAGGGAGGGGTCAGTGACAACGGCGGGGCTGCTGATGGTTTCGTGAAGTTTTCTGTCTGTGGTCCAATAAGAGGCTGAGGATACCTTTTCAGCGACCTAAGATGGACGGTTCTCTCTGCTGTCAATCACTTAGATGCTTAGCAGGCCATGCAGAACGGACAGGACAAAGTTTCAAACTAACTGAATCAGACGAGTGATCTGAAACGAGTGGATCCATCTGAGCCGGTTCACTGATTAGATGCTACATGTGGCTTGTGTCTACAGTCGAGGAAAGCAGAAGATGGTGACTTTATCTTTTTCAGCAGCTATTCTGGAAAAATAGGTTTCTACCACTTGTCACAAGTTCATTCATACAGTGCTGATCCTGATTAAGATTGTAAAAACACACACGCATTGACACACACATGTACATGCACATACTGTTTAGACACACAAGACGGAGGGAGAAAAAAAAAACATTCATTCTTATGGCAAAGACTACTTCAACATGTAACAGTGAGATGCAGTGCTATACTTTCTGTAAAATGTTTCATAATAGCTTATATTGATTTAAATGGCTCGGCTTTTTTCAGACAAAAGCAGCTGCCATAGCCCTCACCTGATGCTTATGAATGCATGCTGTATGGACACCTCATGTATTATTCCTTTTATCTGGGTCAGTGTTGATTTTCTCCACAGCTAAGACATTAATGCAGTCCATTTTTATACCATCAGAACACATTTTTGTATTCAGCTCTTCAGAGTATATTTAATTATTTCATGACCATGAAGTTGTACAGGGAGTTTTTGTTCTTTTGTTTAGACAACGTTTTAACCCTCACGCGCATCGATTCGCTTTCCCACATTGTTTTTCATTTTGGGGGTGAAAAGGACAATTTGACAATCACTTATCAATGACAGTCACTAATCCCGGACTCTACTCCACGCATAAAGCACTAAAAAAAAAAACACACACACACACACACACACACACACACACACCGTCCATACTAACTGCATGTCACTACTTCAAGTCAGCATTTACACCTCAAACAAAAGCCACTCATGACCTAAAACCCAGTCTAAAACCCACTTTTTTTCCTCGCATCATCCTTCACACTTCCTCTCACCTGTGCTGTTTTATTTTTTTACTGATTTCCTCATTAAATTCACTTAGATAGAGAGCAACTGAAGCCCTTTAAAAGATCCATCTCATTCGTTCGTGTAAATGTGCCAGATTAGAGCGTGTTATATGGAGTGTGTCATATGGATCTGCCTTATTGCGCATCTTTGCTGCCTTTCTTAGAGCTTTTAATATATGAAAATTGAAATAAAGAGTCTGTTTAGTATGTGTGTTGTATATTTGTTATAGACATAGTATGAGTACCGATGTGTTGACTGAATGATCGCCATGCTGAGAAGATGTATATTTGTGAAATAACTGTGTGAAGACCTCAGATGTCATGTCATGTCACTTCTTTATATTTTATCTGTACAACTACCTTTGGGTGTTATATACGCAGGCATAAAAGCATTTTGTTGAGATCTCAGTGCACCCAAAACATTCTTTTTTTTTTTCTCCTTTTTTCTTTTTTTTTTTTTTAAAAAAAAGGAACTAGAGATGTAGCCATCATAGAAATGACTCGTTCTTGAACAGTTCACTATTGCTGCACTCCAAAGGAAAAGTTTGGAAAATAGAGTAAAGTTCTCAGATTGTGCCTCAGAGAAAACCTGACATTTTGGGGTGTTGTGTTACAATACGCCATACTCAGTTGTACCTTAAAATGTTTGAACCAGGAAATGCTGCAGAGTTAAGATAACTGCAGAATAGTTCTAAGGAGAAATGTCTCTAATGGACACCACTGTATGTAGGCTGCATGTGGAGACTCAGCGAGCGAATGAGTGGACGGACGAGTGGGTGTCTGGACGAGAGAGAGAGCAGTGGAGGTAGTTGGTTTAAGATCAAGAGAGAAATGCTCGGTGTAACAGGTCTTTACAAAGCTGGTGTTGACAGAAATAAGGCTGACACGATCCTCAAGTGATTGGCTAGAATTTCTTCTTCTTCTTCTTCTTCTTCTTCTTCTCCTTCTCCCCTTCCTTTTATGCAGCCCTAATAATGTAAATGTCAGTGAAAGTAGATGAAAGCAAAATTATTGCAATCATAGGATTTAAATGTGTAACTTGTCTTTGAAAGGCTCTCACGAGGGTGCATCAGTGAGGAAGGTTAATTGGTTCGCAAAGCGGTTTGATGTATGTGTTATACCTACACTGGGATATGCATTAGCTTGGCTGGATGAAAGCGTTTGATCTGCCTTGGTCTGCTTCACGGACTGAATATTTTTACTATAAAGTTTTTTAAAAAAGGGCATAGCTGTGTTTGTAGAAGAGCCACTCTTTCTCTTTCTCAAACTCACTCGTGGTTTTCCCATTTCTATTATTTTAAAAACCACTGTTTCATATGTACCTGCCTTTTTTCATGTGCAATATGAAGTGTCTGCCTCTGTGACATTGCATAGATTCCTATGTAAATACCTATGCCTCTTGTTAAATTATTGCTTTAGGTCTGAGTTGCCAAAGGCTTTTGGGTGTTAGATCATGATGTTTCCGTTGAGAAAAAAAAAAAAAAAGTCAGTGGAGTGTGACAATTTTAATCCTAAAATGCTTTTGAGAGTTCAGACCTAGGACAGTTTTCTATAATGACTGTGTATCTGTCCTTTTATGTTCGTTTTAGAGAGTCAGGGCTCAATGTGCCAAGCAAACGTTTTCTACTTCCTGGCCAAGCTGCAAAGTGAAAAACAGACGCAACTTAAAATATATTTTGTTCCCTAATGTTGGAGTGAGGGCTGTGTTCATATTTTCTGATACATCATGACGGCTTGTCCATGAAGTACGAACCCGATCCAGTTCCCATCATCACAGAACAGCAGGACTACGGCCTGTGATGTAACGTCACTGTAATGATCACCTCTGACATAATTGTTAAAAGTGGCAAAAATATAATTGCTGTAAATAACAGTTTTAAAAAAAAGAAATGTTTCTTGATTGTCTGTCATTATTACACTGGGAAGTATTTCGATTCTTTAATGTATTTAAAGTGGTTGCATCCTGTTCTCTTTCTTTTTATTTTTCAGGCCATTTTTGAACAACCCCAAGCTTAGACTTCTACAGAGCAGATGAAAGAAAATATATGTGTATTTAGGATATGCATATGATATTCTACCACAAATACAAACCCAGATTAATCTGAAATGTATAAATGATGCTTATACTAAGGACTTAATCCTGTCGTCTGTTAATTATTTGTTTCCTCGAGTTCTGAGTGCTGGTGGTCTTGTTCTCCTTTGGATGTAATGAACAAGAACATTTTTGAGATGAAGGCAAATTGATGACATTTTGAATCTTTTTTTTTTTTTCTTTCTTTCTTGGAATAAATCTGGTGAAAGGCTTCTTGGTTGTTGTCTCTACATGTGCACACACACCATATGCTGTAGCTACTGTGCAGCTTCACTCCACCATGACAGGCTGCCCGGAGTTGTGCGTTTGTATCTGGCAACACTGATTCAGTCATCACAGTGGCATCTCTGCTGATCCTGTTGGCCTATGTCACATACTGTATAAGCATGGCCAGATTAACATATCAGGGGCCCTGGAGCTAAACTCTACTATGTTGTCTCCTCTCTCTACATTCTGCCTGTAGTTGAAATAAGCTTGCCACGCTTTGTTTATACTGTATCTAATGCTTGTATTTTGGGATGAGGCTCCAGTGAGTACCTGTCCAAATTGTATTTTACCAAAAGCCCCCGAAGTGATGTAAAATTTAATTAAAAAGCAATTTATTTTGGATATGTATAATTTAGGAACTTGACATGAGTCCCTTTTATACTGTGCCTAAAATTCTGTCTATTCCTGTGTGGGCACCTTTGGATATTATGAAGTTATCCCAATTAAAGTGAGACAAGCCTTGCTAAAAATATAAATAAAGTGAAATTACCATACTGTGGGAAGGAAATTCAAGCAAGGAATGTTAGGTGGCATTTAATATGACGTTACCTCGAACAAACAGAAAACTCATAGAAAGACATGAAGTGAGTTTTACAAAAGCTACATATTTCCTTTACTAATTTAGATTGATAGTAGCATCAATATTTTAACTTTTGTGTATGTAAATGACTTACTCACTTCTGCAGGATTTTTACTTATGATATATTTTTTAAATACAGGGCAAAGGAACTGTTCAGATAATTTACTTAGGTGAACAACAACTTCACTTTAATAAAAGTAGAGGTTTTGCTATAATATACTATACTATAATAATACAGTAATACAAATCAATTAGAGCACACATCATTCATTAGGCCATAATTATATAGTATCACTGATGCATCAATATGTAGCAGTACTTTAATGTTGTAGTTTGAGGACAAGAAAGTAAATTAAATAAATTCAGACATGATGTTTAATACTACAAAACACATATTTCATTAACTGGAGGAATATCCTACTTTACTTTTGATAATATATGTAAATGATACATTACGTAGTAATGTCTACTTTCCTAGAAGCTTGAATGAAGGAAATTTACTTGTTGTGATGTATTTCATAGGATGCATTCAGATCATTTGGTCATGTAAATTGTCTATACTTAGGTAAAAGTAGAAGTATCACTGTAAGAGTGACATAATCGTACAAAAAAACAGGTTAAGGTTACTATGTTAAATTTCTATATTAGGATTGATGAATCAATATGTGGCAGTACTTTAATGCTAGGGTAAATGTAAACTCTTTAGCTTATCAAGCACATTAAAAGCAATAGCTGTTGTGCCAAAGTGCTTTACAATAGAAAAATAGGATTCATGTTACAAATTCGACTAACAAGTTTAAATATTGTGTTTAAGACCCTGCTGTGTTTTTTATGGTGTAAATTTGTTTGAGTAATTTAATCAATAATGATTAAACCTAGCAAATAAATGATACAATACAACTTTACTTGGCTATAATAAATATTAAGACTGAGACCCAATAATATTATTAACTATGGGGATTAGCCTGACTAATTTATGAGCCTACAAAAATATACATGACAAACCCAACATATTCAAGGATTCCGCAGATACCCCATGAGCCAGTTTTCTTAATTATTATTTTTGATTATTATGTACATTGTTTGCATTAATATATTCTGTTTGCTTGTTTGTGCTATTTATTATTATTATTATTATTATTATTATTATTATTATTATTATTATTATTATTATTAATTCAATGTCTTTCTTGCTCATATTTGTAATATACTACATAGAATTATATTGTAGAGTAAGTGTACTTTATGTACATTCTTCCAGCAACATCTGCCAAGGACACGTATTTAAAGGAGAATACAATAATTGAAAAAAATAATGTTCTAACATCAAAACTCTTTGCTCACCTCTAAACTATTCAAAGGTGCAAGAAAGAAAAGCAAAGTTTAGAAAACGTTCGTAATTATTAGTTTCTCGCGTGATTTGGAGTGCGTGAGCTCTGCGCAGTGAGAACTGCAGGTAGTCCGCCATTGCTGCATGAAGAACTATCGGATTTGGCGTTTGGCTGTCAACAATAAAGTTGTGGTGCCGGGACGCGGAGCTACGAGGTCGAGTGAAAGCTCGTCGGCTGCTCCAGAAACCAGTAGTCACCCCCGTCCCTCCCCGGAGAACACTTTCATGTGAATACAGAGCCCACGGACGAGGCAACCATGTCCAATCTCAGCAAAGGCGGCACCAAGAAGGACACCAAAATGAGGATACGGGCCTTTCCTGTAAGTGCTTCCCGCTGTAGGTGCTCTGCCTGCCCGCCGGGCGGTGACTCGATTACCGTGGTCTGAGCTTCTGGCTAAATGCTAGCAAGCTAACCAGCTGAGCAGATGATATGACTTGACTATCCGTAAACAAAGTACAGCCGTTAAATTGTCCAGTCGCTGCCACTGTTGGTCGGTTGTTTAGGTGGCCACTTTGTTATAATGTCACCTTAGTTAATAGTTTTATAAAGCACTTTAATTGCCATTTACGGTAAACTATCTTACAACTTCCCAGACGTTAGCTAGCAGATTGGATCTGTCGACATAGCTGACGCTAACCGTTAGCCCTGACTCTTGACACTTGTTGTTTTCACACCTTTGGCTTTCTTTGATAAATGCATGACCTCTATGTGTCAAACCTTAAAATGTGATTGGTTTTGTGCACTAAAATACCAGCTAGATATCCACACGCATGCAAGAACAACCAGCAGCGTTACTGCAGCTAGAAATGGATGCTAACGAAAACCAAATCAGCTAACCTAGTTCTGGTTTTGCATCTGTGGCTGTGGGGATGCAGATCTGCATCTGCTGTTATTTTGATGTTTAAATTGTGATTCTAGGTTTTGTCTCGTTGTCCCCCGGCTCTTCCTTTGTCTGCAGACATGTCATTTATGAACTGACCTCATTCTGCAGAAAACATCAGCCTGTCTGCGACTGGCTGAGTGAGAGTGTAGCCCATTATCCAGGAACCTGATGGATTGGTTACACATCTTTGAGAGGTTGAGCAATTTCAGTCAGTGTGTTCCTGACGGTGCCCCCCGTAGCTATCTTGTGTTAATACAGTGAGGACCTTCTGTGAGCCTGTTGAATGTGGCCCAGTCCTGACAGAAACTTGCTCTAAGACCAGAATCTTGACATGCATGTGTTTGGGCTTGTCTGCTGAGGGGGAGCACACACTGTTCCTCTTCACTAGAGATGGCACATATTAAGTTCTCTCCTGTGGCCAACGTGTCTGGTTATTCAGAAGCCCACAGACATGTTGAAGGGAACTGCTTAAGTTTAAAGCTTTTAATTATACACCGGATTACAGATTTGTAGTTATGATGATGCACCACAGCTCAGTGCTATGCTAAACTAGAACTGCAAGTTTTCCACTGTCTTTATACTACCTGGTAACTTAAATATCCCCTCTCCTGCATTTCTTTTTCAACAGTGACAGCTTGCCAAAATGGTGGAAAGTAGAAAATGAGTAGGGCTTTTATTGGTTTGTTGGTTAGGTTTGCTTTTAGAAATATGCAGAATTTCAGATACATCAATATAGAAACCCATGCATGCGTGTATGCACCTTTAAATATTTGATACTAATTGACTGGTATCTATATAGTCACCTTGTTCATAGTGTATACATATTGGCATATTTTCTATTTTACGTTTCCCTCATAGGGCTGATGCTGCTAATTAGAGGGGCTTACAGTGTTGTTCTGACAGTGATTGTTCCTTGTTCTCCTAATGCTTTTGAGACAGACTGCCCAAACTCTATACCAGTAATTTATTGGGTGTTAAGATAGATGTAAGAAAGAGAGAGTATAGTAGGCTTGATTCAGCCTAGTCAAAATGGACCACTCTTCCAGCTACTGTAGCAGCATACTAGAGAGATCAGCTCAAGATTTCTAAAGAGACTGAAAAGTGTGTCTTGACCCGTAAAATGATGTTTGAAAGAAAAAAACTCGGTGCTCAGTGTTGTGTATGAGCCTAATTGTTATCTCTTTGTTTCTAGATTATTATAAAGGTGCATCACTGCAGGAAAGCATTGTGATTATATGACACAAAAGTTCAGTCTTTTTCATTATGTGAGAAAATACAGTTCCTTCAAAATGAGCTGACATGGTATCAGTGCACCCTGGAGCTGTTAATGTAGCTGTCACGTTAGGCCCCTTTTTCATGTAAAGTATTTCTTCGGCACTAAATGATTCATTCCAGTACATCTTTTTCTCTCTCTCCTGCCTCATTTGCTATAATCAGCAGACTCTACAGAAACCATACTTTATCCTACCCCCAACCATCTATACATTAAATCATATGGTTTAGGGCAGTATACACAGCAGGGGAGGAATGATCACCTTAGAATTTCACATCTGGGCAAATGGCCTATTTTTCAGCATATGGTCTTCTATAATAAGTATACAGATGTGTGAACAGACAGCGTAGCGGTTGGAACTTGTTGATGGAGGTTTGGAAAAGCTGTTAAGGTTTAACACAATACGCCTCATTGACTCATTGTCAATAACAAAGTAAATAATCATAGACTGGGGATGGCTATTCATAGAATAGACCATCTTTTTTGCACCCATATTAACTGTGAAGATTGTAAGGACAAAATTGCACAGAGGTGGGAATCTGTCTGTGTTAGAAGACTTTATTTGGTAACAGGATCCTTGGTTGCAAGTGTTGGCACAGATAATTATAGGTGAGTTCATCTTATTCATACCAGTACTGGCTACCTTTTGCAGATGACGATGGATGAGAAGTACGTCAACAATATCTGGGACCTTCTGAAGAATGCCATCCAAGAGATTCAGAGGAAGAACAACAGCGGCCTGAGCTTTGAGGAACTTTACAGGAACGCCTACACAATGGTGCTCCACAAACATGGAGAGAAGCTGTACACGGGCTTGC